GAAGAGGTAGAAATGCACACCAACTTTTCAGAATCTGACATTCTGCCTGCAGACAGTTGATATCTCTGTTGAGCTCAGGTTAGTACAGCACTCCTCCTTACCCCCCCCCCCCCCCCCCCCCCTCATCTCTCTTGCTCTTGCTCTTGTTCAATCAATTGCAACTTTTTCGCAAACTTTTCATGCAGCATGCCAATAGGGTTTGAAGCATCACTGCGGGCACATTCGGCTGTTTCGACAGGTCAGAGTCAATCTTGACGAATTTGCTGATGTTGTTTTGAAGGGTTGTTCTCAGACAAACCTTTTCTTTCCTTGCTGATGTGTTTAAGAGCCTGCTTCATGCACTCAGATGCGAGATTAGCCTCTCTTCAATTCCATCATGGCGCAATTATTGTCATTTTTGCGGCATCATTACCGTGATTAAAAGCCTGATTAAGAATCAGAACGACACAATGCTGTGACCGTGTTACTATTTGATATGATGATCCTGGGTAAGATAAGGAATGCAAGGATCTGACTTTTTCTCCAAAACAGAGATGCTTTGTTGTTCATTTCTTATTTAAATTGTGAAATAATTGAAGGACAGGATTGACAGGATTATGGCGTCAACTGCTTTGTTCCCTTCTTGGTAGATGAAAGCCTTTTTGTAATCAAATGGGAAAAAAATGAAAAGACATTTTCAAACGAAAGTGTCTCTGCAGCTCACAGCCAACAACTTTTTATGTGCTTTTGGAAAATGACAGATGAGTGCAATGAATGCTGTAGCATCCTGAGGCAGATGAAGCCTTATAAATTGAGCAAAAGCTCACTGATCTCCGGGATGATAGATCACACCGTGCTCTGTTTCAAAATATAGGAACTTATCACACTATTTGGCATTCTATCTATTTCATAACAAGCAATTTTCCTTAAAGAAGGAGATTGAGCATGGCTGTGCATGGTGCATACGAAAAGCTAAGTAGTGCAGCGCCATAGATAATCACTGATCCGCCCATGACCTGATCAAGATGAACAGTTCTATCATACAAGGTGAGACCCATGGCCTCCCCCCGTGCCAGCACACCTTCCATCAAAGTCGAGATTAAGATGTTGTGCAGTTGTGGAGCATCATCCACACGTGTTGCCCTGGGTCTGAGTGGGTCATGTTCACATGAACTGCCTCTGCGTGCCCCTTTGACAAATGAGGCGTGCTCAGTGTGAAACAGCGTGTCACTGATGAGGCAACACAGGTAACTTTTTACAGTGCAATAATTTGTACGATGCAGGTTATGCTTGTACACACTTTCATTTTGAATATGCTGCAAACACATGTTTCACATGGAAAACCGATACAAATGGTGGAAATTGCTGAAGATGTCAATAGAAACCCCTCAAACCTGAATACATTGTTTTCAAAAGTTAAATAACTTTAAACTTGACCTTGATATTTTTCGTGATGCTGTGCATCTTCTTGGAGAGTATCAAGTATTAACAGAGATAATCTTTATCTATGTTGGCTACAGGTTAATAAATAGTTCATAACAGTTGGACGGGATGCCAAGTGCCTTTTCTTTAAGTGCTCTCATTTCTGGTAATGATTGCGGTGCAGATCAGCGCGTGCAGTGAAGGTCCCCAGGCACCGGCTAATTGTTCTGTTACACTGGATCACACAGACAGACTCTGTGGAGTCTCTCAAGCTCGCTGCGCTCACAACGAGCTAACATCCTGTCTCTGCCATGCTCTGCAATAGAATGCACGCAATCCCCCCTTGTTAGGTTGTACCCTGTCAATGACGCACGAGGTAATTAGAGAGTAGCGATGCCATGCCAATTAAAGGACAATAACAACAAGCAAAAATATTCTCAAATAATTTTTCTGTGTATAGTTTGCAAGACAGATGTGAACTTCGACTCTGCGTGTTGTCATGGATTGGCAATCAATGTAGTGTTTTTCCTGCCTTCCACCCATTGCATGCTGGGAAAAGGCTCCAGCCTTGCAATAACGACCCTGAATGGGGAAAAAGCTGGTATGGATAAAAAACATGGATCTATAATTGTCATTCACAGTTTTGCACGGCTGCCACTGCTATTTTTGGGCAACAATCTGGGAACATGATGTGGCCACTTCTCAGACATCCTCCACACTGCAGTCTGAGCCTTAAAAAGAAATGACAGCATCACATTTTATTCCCACTGTTTACTTGCGTTATACTGGAGGCTCCCTTCAGAGAGTGTACAGCAACTTTGCTTTCATCAGAGGCAGCTTAATCGCGGGAGGATTCTTTACTTTTGTCCCACATGCTGCTTACATAACAGCTGAGAGATGGGTTTTTTTCATGCATTTTGAGACAAACTACTGAAGTCATACAGTGAACGCTGCACTTAGATGACACCGTATAGCTGATTCAGGATTCGTTCGCTTCATGGACAGTTTAGGGAAAAAGGGGCGAAAAAGAAAAGTGGCGTAATGATTAGAATCTTCTTGACCAATCGTGGCATCTCTCACTCTCTCCCTTTTACTCCCTCATGCATGCGGTCAAAGGAGAGGGAGACGACAGAGGTGCAAAGAGTGTTTTTTTTTTCATGCCAGACATCTAAAGCTTTTTTTTCCCCTTTTTTTTTTTTTTTTTTTGCATGGTTGGCCTTTGGCAAAGTGAAGAAGTGTAGACACCTAAGAATGCCGAGCATGAACTCGGCGAGTCTGTAATGTTCTAGGGAGAAAAAAGAAGAAAAAAAACTGCAGAAAGACAAAGTCTGCCTCTGGAGATGGAGGAAAGCAGAGTGTCTCTGCCTGGCAACAGCACTCATTTTGGCTGGCTTTCATCTGGGCTTGGCCTTTTGACGATAGAAGCAATCTTAAAATCGTAGCCTGCATTTCTATTTCTCTCAAAGGTCACCCGTTTAGAATGTGGAAGTGTAGAGGGGGGGAAAGGCAAAAGGGGTAGTAGAGTGCTCATCATGGCGTCAGCAGCAGGCCTTGATGAATGATTGAGGAACTGTGTGCATACGTGTGAGCGTAGGTGTGTGTGTGTGCTATTGTAAGATAAAGATGTATTCATCGGCATGCATGTGTATGTCTGTGTGTGTGTGTGTGTGTGTGTCTGTTATTGTCGATAAAGATGTATTCATCGGCATGCATGTGTGTGTGTGTGTGTGTGTGGGATTACACGTGTTTGAATGCATTGTATCTGTGCACTCTCTGTTGCCTGTGCATAAACACGTTGCGAGTGGGTGTGCATGAATTCTCCTTGGCGCTGCCTTTCAGCTGCAGCATGCAGGACGCCTGCGACACTGAGCTATGTCATCTCTGTGATCTCTTTATGATGTACAAAAAAAAATATCCACTTCTGCCACTCGCCATGGTGACCCCCATCAATTTCCATAATCATCCGTTTACTCTCTTTTATTATCGGCCTTCCATCTTTCCCCGTCTCTCCATGCAGCGCTGTATTCTCATCTCCCTCTTATCTCCTCCTCGTCTCTTCTAGAAGATATAGCCTCAATGCACAGCCACGCTAAGCCGGCTCAAACTTCAGTCCAATTCTTCTGCATGAATATTTCATTTGCATTATTTTTTGTTGTTTAAATTGTGATCTTATGTGTGACAGGGATAGCTGTAAACACTGCTGATGCAAAGTAAGGACGGCAAATTGGGTCAATTTGTGAAGTTCTCAAACGAGCAAATTATATATACTAAAAGTGGACATAATTAACAGCTTTTATAGAGACCAAGATACTCTGGTCAGTAGTTATTGCTTAAGTATGCAGCATCAAACATTCCTATTCATTACCCAAAGAAATGGATACTGAAATCCGGAGCAACACAATAAATTCATAATTTGAATTTCTGATTTTGGAGGTCAGCGATTCAATTACGTACACTGCTTGGGTGAAAACATGCTCCTCTCATTGCACAATGCCCCAAGGGCAGCCTCAGGGTGAGATGACACGCTGTGCGGTTGGACAGGTTCCGCAAATGTTAAAGAAGATGAGAAAAAAGGGTGTTTTGTCCACTCTGACTTGAGAACAAAGTTGTTTCTACCTATGATACTACACAGGAGAGGGCTGTCGGACTATTGTTTTTCTCCCTTTGGGACTGAATCACATTTCAGATAAATCAATAACACTTCCTGCCTCTGTCTCATTGTTGTAAACAGTGCGAGCACAGAATACAATCAATCAAAAAACTTGAGCATTTATTTGAAATGTTCTAAATATATATATTAAAAAAATATGTCTCATTCCAATATATAGGCTTCCAAGGCTTCAGGGGAAGTTGAGAAAGTATATCCTGAGTTTAAGAGAATGATGAATGCTGTGTTCTTGTCTTAGCTGGGGGACATAATAATGATGAGGCACATCAATCTTTATTACTACTCCACCACCCGGTCCAGAACATTCAAGGGCAACAGAAATATTGCACTCACGGAGAACATTTATCTTCACACACCTGTCTATAGCTTTTAGCTGCAAGGAAACAAATTCCCTTATAGATCTTTGGACGACGTGTGCATGATCTTTTCTTTTTTTTTCCTCGATGAAAAGTGATTAATTCAACTTTGTAAACTAACTTTAAGCCGAGTATTAAGGGTTGTATTAATAGCGGACAACAGAATGACTCAATCTTCATAATCTTCATATGTAACAGGGGATAATCCTCGATTCAATCAGTGGCAGCCACAATTTAATGTGTCTCCATTGGTGCACTCATCTGTCTATCTAGTCAATGTTGCGCTCTGATTGGCTTACAGACGTAAACCCCCGCCTTCTCGTACCTGTCGATCTGTGAGAGGCCGCGAGAGCTTTCCTACGCCCCGCCCATCGCATCCCTCCCGCCCATTTCCACCGGCGTTCGATCGTGTAGCGAATTGACTGTCGCGGACTCTGTATGTGGCGCATGAGTATGCGTTTCGGGATGTAACGGCGGTCTCGCGGAGCACTGATACTGAATTCATATATATATATATATATATATATGTATATGTATATGTATATATATATATATATATATATATATATATAAATAAATATTAAACCTGCGGGACTCAGAAGAAAGAACCGAGGGAGAGCGTGTGCAAACTAAGGGAGTTTACTACAGCGCGGCGTGGAGGGAGACACGGGCGCGTGGCAGGGAGAACTAGCAAACCCAACCGACACCGCACGCAGAAATGGCGGAGCACCACGCAGCCGGCGACGGCAAGCACAAAGCGTCCACCAGTGCCGGGGGCTCGGTGCACGGGAACAGCAGACCCGGCGTCGCGGGTGGCGGACCGGGCAAAGGAGGAGGCCTGTCTGGTGGACTGACACAACCGGCCGGGTGGCAGTCCTTACTCTCCTTTAGCATTCTGTTCCTGGCCTGCCTGGCCGGATTCAGCTCCAGACTTTTCGCGGTGATCCGGTTCGAGAGCATCATCCACGAGTTTGATCCATGGTAAGCTAACGTAGCTAACGCTTGTCCGGTCGGGTAGACTCCCTGGTAAACGGGTACTTGTAGTGACAATGAAAGAAACTAAATAACTGGGTCATTTATAAAAATAATGTATATTAGGTAAAGACAATGTATATTATTTCAACTGTAATATTTTACTATTTTAAAAGTCAGCAGTGACTGTTTTGAACACCGCTTTAACCCGAACCCTGTTTAGATGTTTTGTTAGCTCCACATTCAAGATGTTGTGTTCCCACAATGACCAGCGACAGGATTCTCTGGAGTCAAACACTTTGAGTACGAGGTCCGTGTCCTGGTTGTGTAGTCCTGCTTGAAGGACCGTGACATGTCGATGTGAAGAACCGAGTGACACGCAGCTGGCTGGTCCGGTCGGACCTCTTTCTCTCTATCTCTCTCGTGGTGTTCTACAACAGCGTGCAATAATAGCTGCAGCAGCGCGAGGAGGCTTCAGCTGCATGTACAACTTTATTTAGGGTTGTGGGAAACGCGTGGAAGACGTGCACGATGTCCCAGCGCGTATTTTAATTCATTGAGAACTCAATTCAACGGGTGAAGTTGAAATGGACGTTGTGGATATGTTTGATGTGAGGCGGTTTGTACAGCTGGAATGGATTCTTGCTGAGTGAGTAGAGATTATGCAAACGAGACAAGCGGGTTTTTTACCATTTTAACAGCAGAACGTTCACAACCCGGAAATTAACTGATCCGGTCTGTTGTGTCTGTCATCACAATGCGGGATTAGGGTCACATGGGCTCACAAGTGTCCGCCCGGCTGCAGAGCACTCCCCCCTCCTCTGCTGTCGTCTACTCTGTGGCATTCAACCGGGCAGCACGATGGATGCATTCATTTATTCATTTTCAAGGACAAGGTGCTCCATCTTGTTCAGGGTGACACTTGCCTCGTCAATTATGCTGATGGCTTGATTGCATTTTATAGCTGAGGCTCAGGGCTGCGAGAGGGTCCGCGTGGTTCAGAGGACACTTGATCCTACTTCGAGACTGGAATGTGCACCAAGGACTGACCTCAGGCCTGTTCAATGAGTAGTCCCCCAGTGTCACACACTCATTAGACCTTGCATTGTTCTTCATATATCCGATTAATGCCACAAGCGGTCACACAGTTGCTGTATCACCTATGGTATTTTTTGCTGCTCTTAACAGTGAAATTGGGAGCGTTTTTCCTCAGTATGACACTGTAAAGTGCCACCCAGTCTCCACAGTTAGAACTGCACAGTTCTTTGCCAACATGTCACAGAAAGGAAAGCAAAGATGCTCTTTGATATTCAAGAGCATATCAGCCCTTGCAGCTATGAGTAGTCTACTGTTCTCTGGGACTTTTTGGCTGGAACCTTCTGGTGCAGGTTTCAATGTAAACCAAGCAGTGATTTCACAAAGTAATGCTTTAAAAAGTATTTTTTTAAGGGTGGTTCACGTAACTATTAAAAGCAGTGTTGCAGACTGCAAGTGATCATTATTTTGTATGGAAAAAAACATCAATCAAAACAGATTGACACCATAAACATATCTGTGGTTGACTACTCATGAACCACTCCCCTACATTCATCAACACTCAGTTCTTCAGTGTGCGTCCGTAACCTTAGCGTTGTTGTATACATTAACGCACAAACGTGACCCCTGTTAGTGCTGTTTTTACCAAGAATACTAAATGGGACATTACTCAAAGATTTATTCTGGTATCTGCCGTTGACTCTCATAAGCGAGAGTGGCCCGGGTCTCTCTAAAAAGCATGTTTTTTTTTTTTATGATTATGTTGCATCCCGTATTAGTAAATCCTCTCCCTTTTCTTTTTTTTTGACAGTGAGAAAAGAAAACTTGTATTTTACAGCTGCAGGCACACGGGGTGCTGATTCGAAGTGGCCGTCACTACCAGATTACTGCTGTTGTCGTCTAGATGCTGTTATTGATTATTTTTTTTTCTTCCTCCGGGCAGAGCTTCAAATTATCTGCAGCTAACAATTACGTTAAATAAACTGGCAATTTGAAGAATGAAGATTGGATTTACAAGCACCGAAATGTCAAGCTTATTCTAAGCAAACACAATTTTGTAGGTGAGTCCCCGATATGACTCGCCTGTTATCTGGCCCTGCTCATTTTGGTTTCCTAATATTTGTTCCTTTTTTTTAAGGCCAGACAGGCTTCAGTTGGCATTCAAGTGAGATTTTTTTGTCTTCTCTATTTATGAAAGCAATTAATTTCTGAGTTTGTATCCTGAGGCATTTTTACAGTCTTTATCCAATCCCAATGTACTGCTCATCTTCTTAGGGCAACATGTCAGTGGATGTTCTCTCAGAACATCGTCACGACTAAACTTTATTATGTGGACGTGTAACTCCTCGACCCTGCTGGTACCAGTTAAGTACCAGTGTTTGCCAAAATGCTACTGGTGTTCCCTCAGAAGAGAAACTTTTTTTGTTCCTGCTCCCTGAGTTAAAAAAAAAGTCTCTTTCCAGTTGATTAAGATAGCAGAAGGAACATTTAACAAGGCAGAAAGCTGTATGATGGTTGAGGCACGTACATGGGGAGGGGAGCTTCACGGAGAAAGTCAAATTTTTTTTTTTTTTCTTTTGCACCTTGGTTATGTCTGGGAACAGAGTCCATTCTGACAGCAGAGTCGGGGAAGAAGAAGAGTCTCCGTCAAGCAAATAATGAGCTGGATTCTTGGGTATAGCAGCTCCAGACATGTACTTTCACTCTTCACACACTTGCATCCTTACTCTCTGTTCGACCGGTCGACATCAGTTCTGCTGCCGCTTGTTCAAGCTTTTGATGGACGCTCAGTGTGTTATACGGGATGGTGCACCGTGAGAGCAAAACTACGAGGCTAGAACTACATTCAGCCTACTAAGTGCTGTACTTAAGTACAATTATGAGGTACTTGGCTTCAGTATTTCCATTTTATGTAACTTCATAGTTCTATTCCACTACATCTTAGAGGGAAAAGTTGTACTTTAACTTCACTACATGTACTTGGCAATATTAGTTACTAGTTTGGCTACTTTGCAGATTCAGATTCTAAATACAATATAAAATCAACTAATAAACTGATGTATTTTTAGTATACCGCCTAGTTAATAAGTATATAAAGTAGTTAAAATGAGCTACATTTTTAACGGCTGCAACATTAAAGTGATTAACAGATTAATGCATCAACAACTATAATCCAATGATGTAGACCAGGGCTATTCAATTAAAGTACAACAGCGAGGTCCAGTCAGAGAGAATTTCCTCATACAAAGATCTGGAACATCACAATAACGTCTAACTTGTGCTATGATTTAGTCACATATGTATTGAAGTAGCCAACATTTGTATTAACGTCTGTATGTAGTCAACTGACTGTCAAATTATGAGTTTTCAAATTAAACTGGATTCATTATAAATAATACATAAATAGATGTTCGCTAGTTTCAAATAAAGTAAGAGCTAATAAATAGGATACAAAAATAAACGTAAGAGAAAACTTTTGAAAAATGTGACTCTTAAAATAAAGTACTAATATATAAAATCATTATTTAACTGAATTTCCCTGCAGCTTTAAATTCAGTTTATTGAGGTGTGAAGTGATGTCAGTCAAAAGAGCCACAATATATTCTTATCTTCTAAAAAGAGAAGATTGTGTGAAGGGACTTTATCTGTGGTTATTGAAACCACTTGTTTCAACTCTATTCTCTTCTGTTTAACATCATTGTTGGACAGTGAATTACTGTGTTAGGATTCAGATTATATCGGGCTCTTAGGTTTATTTCTTTGTGCCTTATTTCGGATGCGAGTGGGTAGTTTGCTCGAAAGATTTGTGCTTTGTCTCGTAGTGGTGCTTCACATTACCGCTTTTAATAATCTCCAAGGTCTCAGAATAATAAACAGAAGAGTCCGTCCATTCTTGTTTAACGACTCTGGTAAAGCTGTCCACATTTATCTTTCTCGAGCATGTCATGTGAAATATGTTCTCTGACTCGCATACTGTTTCCGACTGTTGGGTCTCTCTCCCGTCTCTATCGTGTGTGAGAGTATCGCACTAGAGTCGAGAGCGACGCTTATCGGAATACACACATTTGATTGGCCGAGCAGCATCACGTGAGATGGTTTACAATGCATCTAATTGGTTGGGGTGCTTCCTGGACCGCAGAACAAGTGCCGTAAAGGCTAGAAAAGCTGCGCCGGTTAAATTAAAAGCGCTCCGTGAAAATGTAATATTTCTCAATTATCTATCGGTTATAACTGATTTTAACATTTAATAAGTAAAAATATGTTTGTTGTGGACAAACATGTATGCTAGAGCGCTAAAAATGCTTGCACTGCAAAATGATTTATGCATAAACCAGCTAAATCAGAAATCTGCGTTTCGTTGCAAGATTATAAATGGGCTGTAAATCTCGAAGTTGTTTAGGCACGTTGAAAAGGTTATATTCCGTTTCAAGGTATGAGACAGTTGGGATTGTAGTATTTGTGCCATCTGCTCCCGTAGCATTTGTGTGCCATCTGTGTGCACACTCGGCTACAGCAGCTTTACCAGGTTAATAGAAGATTCAGCCCAAGAGCCATTGGAAAACTGCCTAATGACGCTCTGAAATAATCTGAACACATTGCTTTGTTTCTGCTCTTTCTGCTCGCCTGCGTGCTCTCGTTCACCTTGCCTCTCCACATGCACCCTGCAATTTCTGGGTGCAGCAGAAAATTGTGACAACCACCGTCATCGTCTCTGTTGACGTCCTGATCGGCCGGGTGGGAAACCTGCAAAACTGGCAGCTCTAACACCACCGCAGATGGAACATGATACAGAATGTCAGACCCTTTTTTTTCTTTTCTTTTCTTTTGGAGGCAGGGAGTTTTATCATGCTGGACACAAAGGAAACATCCAGCGATATTCAGCAGCTTTTGATTGTTAATCCCCAAACAAGAATAGTGCGATTTTGACATCTGAAATGTCAGTCGCTTCACAGACGCCTTGTGCAATCCTCCGC